TTTTTTTTTTGGTACTGGGGATCGAACTCAGGTCCTTGCACTTTTAATTTATTTCTTACCTTTGTTATTTTCTTTCAAATTCTTTACTTTATTCAGCTTTTGTTTTTCACTTGAAAAAAGTGATTTGCTGCATTGGTCAGGAGAGGTTGGATGCCATAACAACCTCCAGTCTCTGTAGTCTAATAGCTATGATTTACTTGTCTCATCACAGTTCAAAATAGGTTGGCAGAAGAGCTTTGTAAATTCCTTGTATCAGTATCACCCCACTCTGGACTATTGGGTCCTACACAGGATTCTTTGGAAATGGTAGATGAGGGAAGGTGGGTGGATACATTTGCACAGGAAGTTTTAGGATCAGACTAGGAAGTTATTCCATTACTTCTGCCCACATTCCATTGGCCAGAACTCGGTCATCTGATCATTCTTCACTACTCACCTGTGGGAGATGGGAAAGTGTCTCTGACATAGATCCTCAGCACATAAATATTGAGCTTTTTTTTCTTTTTCAGAATAAGTATATGAGTGTAAAATTTTTCTTAGAGTTTTTTTGATTCTATAAGTTTTGATATACAGTTTAAAAAATTATCATTCAGTTCTAAATATTTTCTTCTTTTCCATTGTTTTTTCCTTGAATAATTATTTAAAGGTACCTTTCAAAATTAACAGATATATGCACTTTTCCCCTATATATCTTTCATTATTGATTTCCAGTACAGTTGCATTTGTGGTCAAACAGTGTAGTCTACATGACACTAATCATTTGAAACTTTTCAGGTACCTTTATGACCTCATGCCTGGCAGGTGTCGTAAACATGTTACTGTTACATGGGGTTCAAAAGAATCCCATTCCCCAGTAGTACAGCACAGCAGTCCATATCCATCCATTAGCTCCACCCATTCACTGTGCTGTCACATCTTCTACAACCTTGTTACTATTTTTTCCTACTTGATACATTAATTACTGAGGCAAGATTGATCTGATGTCACATAGCTTATTTGTTGATTTCTCTTATAATTCTGTGACGTTTCTGCTTTAGATACTTTGGAGCCATATTTTTAGTTGTATGTCAGTTCATAATCACTATATTTTTTCTGGTGAAGTAAACACTTTAAACTCTTATAATGATTTCACTTATTTGTAGTAATTGTATTTGCTTTAAAGATTGTTTTAGTTGATATGGATGTAGTGATATCAGGATATTTGTTTTTATTTGGGCCTGGAAAGAAAATCAGTAAGGATATAGAAGATTTGTACAACACTATTAACCAACTTGACCTCGTTGACCTTTGCAGAACCCTCCCCGTAGCATCAGAGAGAACACTAAATAAGATAAACCCTTTGGGCCATGAAACAAGTTTCTTTTTGGGGGAAAGATTAAGATCATAAATGTATTTTCTCAAGCCACACTAGAATTAAAGTAGAAATCAACAAGGAATATCTGGAAAATCATACCTACTTCAATATTTATAAATGTAATTCTATACAACCCATGGGTAAAATAAAAAATAATAACACAAACTAGAAAATACCTTGAACTGAATGAAAATTGAAGACACATATATAAAAATATCTGGGATGTAGCTAAAATGGTGTTTAAAGGAAAATTTGTAGTACTAAATGCTTATATTGGAAAAGGAATAAAGACCTAAAACCAATGGTCTAAACTTTTGTCTTAACAAAGTAGGAGGGGGAAACAGCAAATTAAAATCAATAGAAGCAGAAGGAAAGAAATAGCAAAGTTTTGGTGGTTTTTATGTTTTGGTACCGGGGATGGAACTTGGGTCCTTGCGCTTGCAAAGCAGGCGCCGGAACCACTGAGCTACATCCCTGGCAACAAAGTTAAAAGCAGAAAACAATGAAATCAAAAGCAGAAAAACAACACAGAAAATCACTGAAACCAAAAGCTGATTCTTTTACAAGATTGATAGAAAGGATAACCCTATAGTCAAAGTGACTAAACATAAGAGACAAAGGCTAGCAACCTCAGGGACGAAAGAGGTGACATCACTACAGATCCTACAGATAGTGAAAGGGCTGTAAAGGAATATTATGAAAAACTGCATGCACATTAATTCAACAATTTAGGTGAAGTGGACAAATTCTCTGCAAGTCACAAATTATCAAAGATCATTTAAGAAGACATTTATGGTTTGGATAATCTTATATAGCTATTGAAAAAAATGGAATTTGTGGCCAAATCCTTCCCACAAAGAGAACTCCAGACCCCATGACTTTATTGGTAATTTCTACCAAACATTTAAAGGAGATATACCATCGATTGTATACAACCTTTTCCAGAAAATAGAAGAGTAAGGAATAAAACATCCCAAGTGCACTCATACATACATGGTTAATTTTCAACAAACATTCCAAAGTAATTAAATGGAAAAAGGGAAAATCCTTTTTTTAAATGGTGCTGGACCAACTGGATATTCAAAATGAAAGCAAAAACTGTCAATGCTTATCTCATACCACAAACAAAAATTAACTCAAAATGGATATACCAAAATGTATGAATTAAAATGATAAAATTTCTAAAGGAAACCATTGTGACCTTGGATCAGGAAACTCTTAATTTATAAATGAGAAAGCAGCTGTTGATAGGTTAAAGATCTTCCTGGAGAACACACAATTATTTAGCAGCAGAACTGGTCTTCTAACCCTTAAATTCATGGCCAGATTCCATGTACTTGACTGGCAAGGGCTTTATGTGGCAATGGTGAGATGCTCCCTTTGTCTCCATATGCTATCCCAGTTATGGAGGAATGCAAACCTCTCCCAAGAACACACACCCACTTGCCCCAGGAGATTGATTTTAAGGTCTCTGCTGATTATGCCCAAAGCAGACCATGGTTTTCCATTATCCCAGGCTCTGAGGGCAAGAACTCCTCATGGATAGTTGTTCCACAATGTAAACACAGGCACACACATACACAGATACAAACACACACACACCTGTAAATTCACTTACACCAGGAATGTTTTCCTTTATCATTTGGCCAAAAGTCTGTAATTTCTGTAATAGCCAAGGTCCTAGCAGAAGGAATAAAGAGCAAATGGTGACCTGCTAGACCCGGGAGCTGACATCCTAGGGGAGGTTGGACTTGCCCTCCCCCAGGGTCCCTCCTTCTTCTGGCCTCTGCAAACTCCAGAACTTTTCCTGAGAGCCCTGAAGGTATAGGGGCCACACCCTGAGGATGAAGGAAGGCAAGTGTTCTGGAGGTGGTGGTAGGTGTAAGAGATGTGTTTTCTGGCAATGGGGCTGCAGAAAAGGTGAGAAGGCCCCACAGAGCCTTGAGTGGGAGCCAAGTCTTCATGCACTAGTTGGTGTCTCTCATCCCCCGTGGCAGGGGCCGACAGAGCAGTTCTCAAGCAAGATTCTCCCGGCCCAGACTGCTTCTGGCCCCGGGAAGACAGGTGCATGGCAGTCCTAGGCAACCAACTCTGTGGTCCCCACACATATAACAGCTGGGAAAGCCTCTAGCCCTGCTGTCCCAGGATTTCTGCAGGGCAGTGGCACAGAGAAAGCATGAGCCAGGACAAGGGGAGGCCTCTGTCACACTTCTCACCTTTCTTAGCTTCCTGTCTTGCAATCTGCTGTGTGGCCTGGGCTGCAGGAAGGCCTGATTCTGACTCCATTCTTCCTTCAGCCAGAGCCCACCCAGCCTCTCAACAGGAACCTGGTATAAAACAACTTTTGCTTTGGGATCTTCCCTCCAACACACCAAGCCCAAATTAATCTGCAAAGTATCGGCCTTTCTTAGTCTGATGCTTTAATGAAGGCAAATACAGAGCACAGCCCGCTCACACACATCCTCAATGCCCACGATGCCAGGTCTTCTGACGTTCTTCACTTTCCCTCTCTGTGGTCACAGCAGGCTCGGCTGTTCTTGTCCTCCCTCCAAGGGACCCAGCAAACGAGGGCCTGCCCCGCTCCTGCAGATAGTTCTGTCCAGAGCTCCCAAAATGCAGAAGAAATCCACGTGGCCAGGGCCTGGAGTGTGCGGCCATCCTGTGCAGTGATTTAGCTTGGGGCTACTTTGCCCATGCTTTTTTTCCCCCAAGGATTCCATGTCCTCCAGGCCAAGCCTCCCCAGAGGGCCCCTCACTGCTGTCTTCCTGAGCCTCTGAGCACAGCCTGCATCCTCTGGGGCTGGCTCTCTGAGCTGGGATCTGTGTCAGGAGTGAAGCTTCAGTGATCTGTCATCCATTCCGAGGCCATGGGTCCAGGGAGGGCCATCCCGGGTAAGGCGGGCCTAGGAGCTGGGTTCTGCAAGACATGGGATATTGCAGCTGGTTCAGAAAGGGCAGCTAAGGCTGGCCATGCCTCCCACACCTGTTCCATGGTAAAGGCAATACAGCTCAGCATTAGCCTTGTAGGCTGTGTCAGTGGGCATGGGCTCAAACCCAGAGCCACCACATATTTCCTGAGCTTGGCCAAAGTCCCTCCAAGTCCCTTTCAGCAACAGTAACTACCCCCAAATGCCTGCTTCTTTCCAGGACTGTGTATACCAGCTAAGATCAAGAAATATGGCAAATGTTTAAATCTTAAAGATTCATACAATAAAAATATTTCCCCTCACTTCAAACCTATCTATCCCATCATTCGTGCCACCTTCTGAAGCAGTTCTGGAAATCCTCTTTTGTGAATGTCTTTAGTTGAGCTATCATGGCTACCTTGAAGCCCTGATTTGATTCAAAACATTTATCTTTCATGGTCATTTTGACATTGGGGAGAAGCCAGAAGTCACATGGTGCCAGACCTGGTGAATAAGGCGGATGAGGAGACACCCTAGTGTTGTTACAAGCCTGTCTTTTTGTGAGATAGTATGCAGCAACAGTATTCACCACCTTTTTGATCACCTTGTAAAGACACTCATGAAAGAGAACTTGCAGAAGTGCTTCATGAATAGGAAAGAATGATGGGATAGGTGTGTTCAAAGTGAGGGAGAGTATTCTGAGGGGGATTTGTGGCAATGTATCTCTTACTGTAATATATATATATATATATATTTTTTTTTGGTACTGGGGATTGAACTCAGGACCTTGTGCTTGCCAGGCAGGTACAGTGTCACTGAGCTAAATCTCCAGCCCTGTAATAAAAATTTTAATTTAACATTCACCATATATTTTGCTCACCCCTTAATTATTTGCCTTATTGAAAAGGAGCCCACCAGCTTGGCTTTCCAGGCCATGTCGACATCTGGGCATGTTTATGACAGGCCACCTAGAAGAAGCCACTCATCTCTCAGGCTGAGGCCCATGGCAAGTGGGGAGCTTGGGTGAGCAGCACGCAGCCCCACTAGTCAGGAGTGGCTCATCTGCTCCCTGCCCCTGCTAGCTCAGCCCACTCCAGCACAGCCGCTGTTACCTATGACAATGAGGGTGGCAGTGCTGACTGCCTGGCCCAGCAGGTTCTCGGCCACCACCTTGTACTGGCCCCCGTCCTCAGGGGAGACGCTGGGGATGACCAGGGAGCACACGCCCAGCATGTCAGTGCTGTACGCAGTCTCGTGTCCTTCCAGGCTCTGGTTGTTCTTGAACCAGGTGACGTGGGGCCGGGGAGAACCCTGCACAGCGCAGGTCATGCGGCACTCACAGCCCCGAGGCAGCAGGTGTGACCGAAGGCCCACTAGGAACCGGGGCTTCTGGCTCAGATTGGGGTCCCGGTAGCACGGCGTCTTCACTGTGAACCTGTCTGTGGTGAAGACCGGGCAACAGGGCTGGAGTAAGAAATCAAGGAAGGCCGGGCAGGGCCAGTCTAGATCTTGGTGCTGGAGAGGCATTTCCTGGGCCCCCGCCACATCTTAGCTCTACATTATGACTCTTTGTTTTTATTTTTTGGCTAAAATTATTTTGGGATTTTTCTTTCTTTGTTTGGTACATTCCCTGTGGATCAGTCGGGACACATAAGAGAGAGAATCAAAAGGAGTAAGAATAAAAACCAACTGTACTCTCACTACCTATAATTGACTGCAGCTAACTTTTTGGTGTAGTGAGGTCTAGATATTTTTGTGTTTTATAGAAGTGAAATCAACTCTGATTTTATAATCTGCTTTTACCAGTCACTTTCTTTAACCTCCACATCTATTTGATTGTAAAGTACACTCTGTCGTCAGAGAAACTTAGCTTCTCTTTTCCTTCCTGCCCACCACTGCTTCTGAGAAGGCATCCCAGACACCGGGCCGTAGGCCCTGAGCTGGGACATAGAGGACTTCGGGAGAGGTGGGCATCAGGAGGAAGTGAGAAGACCAAGCAACGGCTCGTTTGGACCCAAGGTCCAGGCGGTTGTTTGGATGTGCTCCAACCCATCTCTGCCATAGCTACTGCTTGGTCCAGTCCACGCACTCCGTCCCTGGGGGTTATGGCTGCCACCCAGAGGGGAGCCCCCTAAGCGCCTCCCTCCCCAGGGGACCCTCACCTCGCTGCTGCCGAGGGAGGCACCAGGGTTCAGTGGTGTCTGAGGGTGTGCTGGCACCCAGCTCACTCTTGGCCACCACCCGGAAGTAGTACTCGTGGCCAGGGAGGACGCCCAGCAGAGTGAAGCGGTTGGTGTGGATGCAGTCAGCCACCTCCTGCCAGGAGCCGTGTGACGAGGAACGCGTCAGCACAGTGTAGTGCAGGGGGACACCCTGGGCCTCGTCTGGAGAAGGCTCCCACTGCACTGTCACCGTCCCAGGCACATTTTCCTCCAGGTGGATGGGCCCAGGGGCCTGCGGCCATGCTGTGGGAGAGAGGGCAGAGGGATCCTATGCTGTAGGGGACAGAGCAGGGGCCCTGCCATGGTCCCCCATCCAATCCCTAGGTCTTCTCAGAAGCCGGGGCCCTCGGGATTACAGCCTTGCCAGGCAGGCAACTGGGGCCAGAGGGATCTCAGTCAGGTGTATAGTTATCTTTAGAGGCTAGAAAACCTCTCACAGAAGAATACTTTTTATTTTGGCAGTACTGGGGATTGAACCTGGAACTTTTACACTGAGCTACCTCCCCAGCCCCCTTTATATTTTTTAATTTTTGAGACAGGCTCACTAAGTTGCCTAGACGGGGCTCAAGCTTGTGATCCTGCTGCCTTAACCTCCCAGAGTGCTGGGGTTATAGGCATGCACTGCCGTGCCAGGCTCCAAAAGAATATTTTAATTCAACTTATTTTTAGGTATAAAGATACAACATGGTAGGGGCTTTCAAAAATCAAGTTGCAGATCTCTCCCACTGTTAGCCTGTTCCATCATTTGAATATGCAGGGACTCCACCAGGGTAGGGGCTGGTGGGGAGTTCCTGCCTTTGTTTCATAAAAGAGACACAAACCATACTTCCCCCGGGGTCTTTTCTGTGCTATAATGGGAGTGGCTGCCTTTGTTTGTTGATTCCAAGGGAAGACTAGCAGGTCTGGGGGAGGTGGTGGACTGTCCCGGAGTTTCTGAGCAGGAACGGTGACACCCTCTGAGGCTCTCTCTCCCTCTCTCCCTCTCTCTCTCTCTCTCTCTCTCCCTCTCTCCCTCTCTCCCTCTCTCTCTTCCCCCCTCTGCCCCCCCCTTTTGGCCTATCCTTTTTTTCTTTCATCTTTCTTTCTTTCTTTCTTTCTTTCTTTCTTTCTTTCTTTCTTTCTTTTCTCCTTCTCTTCCCCAACCCCTTCTTTCATTCCTCCCTTCCGTCCTTTGTTTCCTTTTTTGTGCTGGGGATCAAAGCTGGGGGCTTCAAACACGTGCCTGACAAGTACTCCACCACCCCCTTCCCCATCTCTGTCTTTAAGCACAGGGGAAGGGTGGCTGCTGGGTCACCTTGACACCCAGGCCTGGTGCCATGGCTAAGGCCTGTGCCCAGGCATGTGGAACCTCCATGCTTGGCAAAGATCTGCAATCCAGAGCCCAGAGCCACGCCTGCCTCACCTGCCACCCTGACGAGGAAACTGTAGGTGCACTCCTTGCCCTGAAAGTCCCTCAGCACCACGGCGTAGCGGCCGCTGTCCGAGAGGCTGGCCACGGGAATCAGAAGCTGGGTGAAGCCATCCTGGGTGGTGGCCACACTTCTTTTGGGCAAGGGCAGGCCATCCTTCAGCCAGGTCACCTCGGGCATGGGGGCAGCCTGGGAAGGGAGCAGAAGGAAAAGTCTAGAAGGGGAATTTTGTGGAGGTGACTGGGTTGGAGCTGGGCCTGAGGGTAGGAGAGGTGAGAAGAGCAATGTGGGAGGGAAACATCACACGGAGGCGGAGGCGGCAGCGCCGTCCAGGAACAGGCTGGTGACCAGGTGGTGGCGAGAGGGGCTGGTGGCATAGGACAGGGAGCTGGACAGGGAGGCTGGGCCAAACTGCAGCCCTGCAGACGGGTGCCTGGGTCTGTTCTGTAAGGAATAACATGCCGCTAAGGTACTGAGCAGGAAACGTAACTGGCCTGATTCTCTTGGGCCAGGCTGGGATGCGGTGCTGGCTGGGAGTGAGAAGGGCCCAGACCAGCTCAGGGTGACTCGGAAGTCCTGTGACACGGAGAGACTGCAGGAGGGAGGTGAGATAGCCTGGCCTGGAACCATGGTTATCCTGAGCGGGGTGGAAAAGGCCAGTCCTGCTGCTGACCACACTGCCAACTGCCTGGGGGACCTCGGGATCGGGCACAGCGCGGGCACTCACAGTAGCTTACCACACGGGAATGTTCTGAGGACTTAAGGAGCTGCCTACACACGGAACACACAGAGAACATAGCCCAGACACAGCACACACTCAGTGTGGGTGAGTTTCGTCATCACAATCATTGTCCTACGATCTAACAGTTAAGATCATGAAGTTCAGAGTAGACAGACGTGGGTTTGAATCTGGCTGGGCCAGCTGTGCGTTTCCCCCACAGGTGGTGATGATGATTTTAATAATGACAGCAATAATTAAAGTAATACATATTGGGTGCTTACCCTATACCAGGCTCGGCTTACATTCTTCCTGTGGGTTAGTTCCTTGACTCCTCAGAACAACCCTTTGAGATAAGTTACCATTATTATCCCCATTTGAGAGGTAAAGAAGTTGAGACACAGAGAGGTGAAGATACTTGTCCAGAATGAAACAGCTAATGAGTGAAGACGTCAGAGTTAGGGCCCAGGCAGTCTGTCCTTCTAACCAACACACTACAATTATGCTGTCCATAGTCAGGTGTTGGTGGTGGATGAAGATCATCCTGAGTCAAATGTAGGTGATGCACTTGCACAAAAAGACATTCTGAAGTCAAAGCGCATTATCCACATTGCAGGCCCTTGAATTCCCAATGACAGGTGAGAAAAAGTGAAAGCCGCGGCTTGGAGGTGCAGTACCGGAAGCGACCACTAGGGGGTGATGCGTGCTGAGGACGGGGAGCCGAATGGCTTCCCAAGGGCTGTACCTTCCAGGAGGACCCTCCTCCTTTCTTCCTTGTATCTGGCCCGTCAGCTCCAAAAACAACAAGGAAGAAAAGAGAACCACGGGCTGTCGGGCCAGCTCCCTTGGCCACTCTGGGCTCCCCTCCCCCACGCGCTTCTAAGTCCACTCACTTCAAAGGAGACTGGCACGCGCAGGGTGTCCCCCGCTCTGACTGTCAGCGAGTCCTTTGTGCTGGAGTCCATGAGGAACTTAGGACAGACTGGAACACACAAGAAGTCTCATCAGCCCCGTCTCCCGCAGTTGGGCCTCAGGCCCAGGTCACCAGCAGGGCAGACGGGAGACTGACTGATGTTGAGATCACACGGGTCGGGGTCTGCAGCAGGGCCTGGGAGGAAGAGCTGAGGGGAGAACCCCAGGAGCTGGGGGACATGCTGGTAGGACAGAGACAGGAGCAGAGGCTGGGCTGAGGCGGGGGAACTAGGAAGGTGACCAATAACCCAGCGCTTCCGTTCTACAGAGGAGGCAATTAGGTCAGAGACAGGAAGTGCCTGACTTGCCTGGGGATGCAGGCAGTTAGGTTAGGGACAGGAGGATTCCTGAGATCCTGGACTCTGTGTATTTTCCCACTGTACGTGTCTCCTTATTGTCATAGTGACAGTTAGGTTGTTTGGGATGGCCCAGTGTCAGCTTGGGTCAAAGACAGTTCAGCGGCTTCTAGCAATGAAGGTCAGAAGGGAAAGACCGTCCACCCCCAGCCGGTGAGGATGGGCGGGGGCGTGTTCTCCCCGGAGCAAGTACTGCCTGAGCCCAGCAGCATTGTGCCTTGAAGTCGCCTGTTTTAAATCCTGGCTGTGCCTCAGACCACCAGTGGGACAGTGGGGAAGGTACTTTAGATCTCAGTTTCCTTCTTTCCAAACTGGGAACCGAAAAAATTAACTTGGTGGATTGATGTGGATTGTAATGAGAACATGTTTCTTCAGAGGGTCTTCTCAGTCCAGTGCCCCGCATGAGGGTGATGCTTACTTTGCTAAGCTGGGGAAGGGCATCCTGACTCAGCAAGTGGCCCCTTTCAGGAAGGGCCACCGCACTTGTGGGGAGAGGAAGGCACACTCACCAGTAAGAGGCATGGCACGCACCAAAGTGTCCAGGGCAGTGGGCTGGCTGCAGCCCCTGTCGTTAACTGATGTCACCCGCACGAAATAGCCCTCTTGGGGTCGAAGGCCCTTGGCGGTGAAGGTGGTGCCTGACACAGTGCCTCCATGGCACCGGGTCCACTGGAGACTGTCCGGGCCACACAGCTCCACCAGGTACCCCTGGGCACGGTCTCCATCCCCAGGATCCGGCCCCATCCAGCTTAGGGTGATGCTGGTGTTCGACGTTTCTGTGACCTGGAGATCCCGCACTGGCCCTGGGGGTCCTGGCCAAGCACCAGGAGAATGTCAGGAAAGGCATCGGCCCCTCCTGAGGGAAAGGCCTCAGTCTTCCCACAGGAGGCAGAATTCCTTTCACTTAGCAGTTCCCAAAGCACCGACTTGGAACCAAACTCTTCTTCTAGCTAGTACTTCACTTTGGCTATGCTCATGCAGATCCCAGGCCACCTCCTCCAGGAAGCCTCCCCACCTCACTCCACCCCTTCCCCTAAGCATCCTTTGCAATTCTTGAAAACTGGTATTTTAGTTGATGACCTAGACTCCTTTATCCCTGAAGACTAGAATTCTGTCTCTCTATTCTGAACTGTAAGCTCTTAGTGGAGACTCCATCTGGGGCACTAGCGAAGGCTTCTGGTCCTCACTTGTCCAATGGGGACAGTAGCACCCTACACACCCACAGAGGTTTTGGAACAGGCAAAAGGCACAGTGTGGTGAGTGGGAAAGGGCTTTAGAAATTGCACATCAGCCTGGAACTCCAGTTCTCAAGTCTGGCTGCAGTTTGGACTCATCTGGGGAGCTTAAAAATCCTGGTACCCAAACACCAGCTGCAGATTCTGATTCAGTCAATCTGGGGTATAGCCAAGGCATCAGCATTTGTGTGAGAGCTCCCCAGAGGTTTCTAAATATGCAGTGAAGTCTGAAAACCACGGATTTAGAGCGGTGCTTCTCAATTTTGAATTTGTTTTCTTTGGCTTTTTTGAGACAAGGTCTTGCTATGCAACCCAAGCTAGCCTCAAATTCTCAATCCCCCTGGCTCAGCCTCCTGAGTGGTGGAATTACAGGCATGCACTACCGTGCCCAGCCCTCTGTGCTGTTCCTGTTGTCCTGGGAATGTCTACTTGGCGCCTCTCTGATGTTTTGAGACCACAGATAGGGCAGTGCTGCTCTAGGCTGTCAGGTTCTCAAGGGCAGAGAACAGGCTGGGGGTACTGAGTCCCTTACACGATGCCCGCTGTCTAGTGGATGATGAGCACATTCCCTGGATAGACAATCTGCCCCTCAAGGGTGACACTCCCCCTCTGGGATGAGTAGATGGTTATAAGACTGAGACAAGTGCCACCTGGGGCCCAGAGGCCCAGAGTGACATAATTTTAGGAAGGAGTCTTCCAATCCCCACTGCCTGGCCTCTGGACCTGTTTGATTTTGATTTGGAGCCTCTAAAATATGTCTCACCCCAGGGGCTGCTCAATGCTTACCCTCCTGCCTTCCTGAGCATTTCCTTCAGGACTGTTCCCTGACCCGGGACTTTCTGTCCTGTCCCAGCTAGTTTCAGAGCTATCCCATCCCCACCACCCACCCCACCCCATCCTGGGTTGGTGCCCTACTTACTCATGGGGCCCCGGGCAAAGACAGCATCTGATGGAGGCCCAGGCTCTCCAGGCCCTGAGGGAGCCACGGCTGTGACCCGGAACTGATATTGACAGCCCTGCTGCACGTCAGCCACAGTGCATCTCCTCTCTGTGAAGATCCCACTCCCCATCAGTCCCACCCTGAGCAGGGCAGGTACTGTGGAGACAGCTTGGTGCCTCCGAGTTCAGAACAAGTCCAAGCTCATCCCTCCCCCATGTACCAGATTATTCCTTTGGTTGGGGGGGGGCAGTACCGGGGATCGAACTCAGGTCCTTGCACTTGCGAGGCAGGCAGTGGAACCACTGAGCTAAATCCCGGATTTTTTTTTTTTTTTAATGAATATAGAGTGGTTAGCAGCATCCCTGGCCTTTTCACACTAGATCCTGAGAGCATCTATTCCCCATCCACTTGTAACACATAAAAATAGTTCAAGACATTGCCAAATGTCCTGCTATGGTTTAAATATAAATTATCCCTCAAAGACTCATGTATTAAGGGGTTGTGTTGAGGGATTAAGCCATTGATGAACTCATAGCTAAGTGGGACTCAGTTGAAGAAAGTAGGTCACAGGAGTGTTCCTTTGAAGGGTACATCCTGTTCCCAGCCCCTTTTCTCTCTGGATCTCTTGCTCTCTGTCTTTCTCCTGACTGCCATAAAGTGAACAGCTTTCTTCCACTATGGCCTTCTACCACGTTGTTTCTACCTTGGAACCAGCTGACCATGGACTGAACCTCCGAAGCTGTGAGCCAAAATAAAGCTTTCCTCCCTTAAAGTTGTATATGTCAGGTATTTTGTCCCAGCAATAGGCAACTGACAAATAGATCCCCCTATGGGGACAAAACCACTCCAGATGAGACCTACTACATTAGGTCAATCTGGCCTGACAATACCGAGGGATCTTGGCACCAGGAAGAGGTCTAAGGCACTAAGGCAGCTCGGAGCCAGGACCTCAAGGAACATCCATCGCACAGGTGTGCTTACCAGACACCAGCTGGTCGTTCACAGCTACCCAGGAGTTGCTCCCCATCTTGCTCTTCTCCACCAGGTAACCCAGGATGTGGGCACTGCCACGGCCCTGAGGTGCTGTCCATGTTATAGTGATGCCCTGGCTAGAAGCTGACAAAATGGCTGGGGCAGAAGGGGGCCCTGGGAGGTCTGGGGACAGAGAAGGTGCTGGTCAGCCAGTGGCTGCAGAAAGGTGCCAGTCCACGGGGAAGTTCTGAGTAAAAGACATGGGTCAGGGCCACGCACTGCCTTTTGCTAGGATTTATCAGGGCTGAGGCAGTGGTCTGGCTCTGTCGGGGCAGGAATGATGGGTCAGAGAAGTCATTTCGACCTCATACTCTAGAGCCAGTCCCGAAGTCCCTCAGCCTCAGTTGCCCGGATAGAAGGTTTCAAAGCTGGGACATCTGGCGGACAAAGATGCTGCCCTTCAGCAGCATCCTGGGAGAGTGGGCTTTCTGTGTCCACTGCTGAGACTCCATAAATCTCAGATCCTGACTGGGCACCAGATCCCTAATGAATCTAAGTAGGAGTCCTCAAGGTCCCCAGGCACAAGCTGATTGCCCTCAGCCCCCAAGGCAGACCTGCCTGTCTCCTGGGCCCAGGGGGGAGCCCGAGTGTCCCCCACCCCAGCCCCAGCTTTTCTCTTACCCTCAGGAGCCACCAGCACCTCCTCAGACTCCAGAGCCTCCCCGGGCCCCTCCGAGGTCACAGCCCGCACACGGTAGGTGTACTTCCTGCCCTGCTCCACATCAACATCTGTGAAGGTAGTGCGGCTGGGGGGGGACTTGCCCACCTTCAACCAAGTGCTCCTGCCAGCCTGTCGCCTCTCCACCATGTAGCGCTCCATGGCCTGGCCCCCGTCTTCCCTTGGGGGTCGCCAGCAGAGGCAGACACCAGCCCTGCGGCAGTCCTGCACCTCCAGGGGGCCCTGTGGGGGCTGAGGCTTGTCTGCGGACCCACGGGGAGGAACAGGAGGAGAACCAGGTCAGAGAAGCTAGAGGGGAGCAGTGCTGATCCCCACCCCTGCCCCTCAGCAGATAAGACTGCAGTGGGGGGCGCTGCCCAGAGAGCTTCCCGAGTCACACACAGGTGCACATGGCTCCCGGCACAGGACATCTGCTCAGCCCTCTGGATGCAGGCACCACTGGAGCTGGGGCCACCATCCCACCTGACAGTTTCCCCAGGGCCAGTGTGTTGGGCTCACAGAAGCTGGAGCCCAGCCCTTCTTTATCCCAACTCCTTCTCCCCACTCAGCCTGGGCAGGGGAGAGAGGAAGAGGGACTGTGGCTTGGGATGTGAACGGCATGCAAATGAGGACCAAGCTGGCAGAGACCATGCCCAGATCCCAGACCTGGCCCTGCTGGGAGGCAGGGCCTGGAGCCATGGGGACTCTCGGGTCTCTGTTGGGGAGAAGGTGGGGCTGGCACCTATGACTTGCAGGGTGACATCCACCTCCACAGAGCCTCCCTCACTCCTCAGTGTCACGCTGTACTGGCCACTGTCCTTCCTGGTGGTGCTGGGGAGGCACAGCTGTGTGTAGCCATCTCCCAGGGCCACCTGGGGCCCCCCGTGGCTGCTGCCCACCACCTCAGCTCCGTCCTTCCTCCAGGTAGCCTGAGCAGGGAGGCGACTCTGGAAGGGGATCTTCATGGTCACTGGCTGTCCAGCCTTGACCACCAGTGGCTCTCTCAGTTTCTCTGTCACATCTGGAGATATGGTGGGGGGATCTGGAGAAAAAAACAGGACAAGGAGGTCAAAGAAGACCAACCACAAGGCCCCTAGGGACCACAGGAAGGACCAGAAGGAAGGTTGGGCTGAGAGTAGGGAGCTCCCTACCCTACTAACAAGGAGGACTAACAAGGGAAATGGCTCAGGCTATAGCAGGAGGGACCAAGGTTAGACCTCACCAAGGACTTCCCGACAAGGAAAGAGGTAAGACAGCTACACAGTAGGGGCTTTAAGATGGAATGAATCAGCTGATGCAGAGACTGCAGGACGGGGCGGGGCAGGGCGTCCTCACCCTGGACGGTCAGGGTGGCCTCGCTCTGGTGGTTGCCCGCTATGAATGTGTACTTCCCAGCCTGGGCCTCCTGCATGTGGGCAATACGGAGTCTGTGCACAAGCCCGTCTTGCTCCACAATGATGCCATCCTGGGTGGTGAGCTGGAGACAAAGGCCACAGTGGACGGTCATTCCCATCCCCACCCTGCTCCTCTAGCTGCTAACTAAGTCCTCTGCTGGTGCACGAGCTGGAATCATTACAGCTGCATGGAAGGGGTGCTTATCTCATGCTGGCCGTGCTGACACTCTCTGTGCATAGCACCTCGTTTAACTGTACAACAACCTTATGCAGTAGGGACTACTTTAGTTCCATCTGATAGGTGAGGACCTCATCCAAGGTCAGCTAAGTGGTGGCAGTAGAGCTGGGTCTGGAGCCAGATCACACTGATGACATGGCCAGTGCTCTGAACTGCTCTTCCTGACATAACCACTATAACGGTGCCAGCCAGCCTGCCTGGTTTGTTCAAGGCCTTGAAAGATGGTTGGAATTCAGCAGAGGTGGGTATGGCACAGGCATTTCAGATGGTAGAAGGATAAGAGATAGGTCAAGGGAGGAGGAAATAGGATATGCATTCATTTAAAAATCCTTGTTTCAAACACACTAAGTTGCTGGCTATTTAAATTTCTCCTCCAAGTGGCTACCTTAGTAAAATAAAGAGTAAAGTCTTTCTTACACATCCTCTACCACCTCCTTCCTCTCTGCTTTGCTGCTATCACCACACTGCCAGCTCACATTGGTGGTAAAGAGAAGATGTGAGGGGCTGGTACCTTAACTCCATCCTTAAACCAGGCACCGGGTCCCAGGTCATTGGTGAGGGTACAGGAGAGCGTGGCAGCCTCACCCTGCTGCGCCTCGGTGTCAGCCAGGCCCTGAGAGAAGTGGCTCTTGGGTCCTGGAGAGACACAGAGAGTCCTCAAAGGCCAGCCTCCCAGGTCATTGCCTGCACTGAATTCTGAAGGCCACCATGGTACTGCCAACTGGACTCAACCAGTGCCAGAGAAGCCACGCCTCGTGTTTTTCTAAGCAGGAGCTCTGGGGTATAAGGTACATGAAGAGGCCCCAAGCCACACAGATGGAGGTCTGGGTCACCCACACAGAGTTACGCCAACAATGCTGGTGCTTTGGACATAGGATTCCAAGACCAGGTACTCAGGAGCCCTCTGAGCCTCATGCAGCCTGGATCCTGCATGCACAGGAGGAAGAGGCTGCTTCCTGAACTTGCGAGAGGAATGGGCAACTGGTAGGGACAAACTCCTGGGGCTGGAGGTGGAATTGGGACTGAACCAGGCACCCCAGTGGCCAGGGAGCTCCCCTGGGCTCCACCCCACGGAAGCAGCCCAGCTGGGAAGACCTACCTCGGGCCTCCGTGGAGAAACTGCCAGTGCCGGCCTGGTATCTGGATCTGGGGCTCTGGCTGGCATCCCGCCCCTCATCACAGACATCCGACCTGCCCTCTTTGGCACCTCTCCTGCTGCCAAGATGCCTGGGGGGCCCCCAGCTCCCGTCTTCACTCCAGGTCTCCTCCAGGTGCCCTTCATCTTCCCTGCCAGGCCGGTGTCCCATGCCTCTGGCCTCCTTTGCACCCCTTCTCCTAGCTGGTCCAACCTCAGCCCCCGACTGTGCCTGACCCTTACTCCTGAGGGGACCAGACCTCAGGCCTGACCTGCCAAACTCCTCTGTGCCCTGCCCCTTGTACTCTTTTAGGGCCCCAGGACCTTGGGCCTTGCCATTCTTGGCCTCTAGGGACCCCTGCTCCCCACATGGCCCCTGACCCCCTGGCTGACAGCCAGGGCCCTGGATCCCTCCTGATCCACCTTTAGAGAATTTTCTGCCAAAGGAAACATCTAAGCCATCCCAGGATCCCTGGGGTCCTGACTCCCCAGGTTTTGGGGTGAGGCCATCCTTTGACTCAGTGGAATCCCCCCTGCCTGGGTCACCCGAGTCCTCTGCACCGCTAGACCTTCCCCTCCTGGGACCTGATCCATTACTCCGCTGGGACCATGGACTTGGACGTTCACCAGGAGCTTCTTGGCCTGGCACAACTCCCCTGCCTCTAGAGCCCCCTGGCCTCTCGTGGGTTCTCCTGATAGTAGCACCTTTCTCCTCTGGAGAACTGGAGGCCCTGGAGCCTGAGAGTTGGTTCCCAGCACTCATGGTGCCCTGGCCACAGCCCTGGTCTTCCCACCCTGGCTCCCAAGCATGGCTCCCCCCTTGCTCATTGGCTGGGCCTGATGTTGACTTACCCTTTCCCCTAGGCACAGAGCTGCTGTCCACACCTCGTCCTGCCCCTGATAAGCTTTCAGAGCCTGCTCCCATCCCTCTTCCTCCCACCTGTGAGTCTCCACCTCCCTGAGGTGCCACTGCCCCCTGATCAGCAGATCTGGCCTCGTCTGTCGTCCCTGAGCCTTTTCTCCAAAAGTCCTGTTTGTGTCCAGACTCCAGAGCAGCAGTGCCTGTCCGGGTCTCACCCTTCACTGCCCCCCTATCATTAGGAAACCTGGAAGCTCCCATCCTCCCTGCTTCCTCTGCAGACCCACCCTGCCCACCGGGAGCTCCTCCCCCTTGGGACCTCCTCCCAGGACCATCTCGCCATTCTCTGGCACCTGATTTTCCCTTGGAACCAACAGTCCCCAAGGAATCAGAGATCCCCGAGGTTCTGCAGCCCCCAAGACTGTTTTGGGGACCCCCTCCATCTGAAAGCAGCTGTGGCCCTCCCTCTGTCCCCAGCATCCCTGGGTATGTGGGGCTGTCCATGCTTGCTGCGCCAACCTTATGAGGCATTCCAGCCATCCCAGAGCCTACTCCAGGCCCTGTCCCATGGGTGAGCCCCTTTCCTCTGCTTCTCTCTGGACCACCCTTGGAGCTTGTGCCACCCTCAGATGCTGCCCAGTGTCCTGACCCATGTTCCTCGGCTTCGTGTCCCATCCTGGCCAGGGATCCTGATACTCCAAGCCTCCCAGAACCACCTCCGTAGTACATCTCGCCCTCTGGAACTATTTCCCCAGACCCTCCTGAGCTTCCCCTACAACCAACCTCATTTCCTGACCCCCTTTCCCCCACTCCCCCAAAACCATCCCTAAGAGCTGCCTCACTCCCTAATGGAATCGTTCCAGGGCCCCCTAAAACATTTCTATAGCCTGCCTCACCTGCTGTCCGCATTTCCCCAGAGCCCCCTGTACCATTCCTATAACCTGTATCATCCGCAGGTCCCATTCCTCTGAGGCTTCCTGAGCCATCTCTGCAGCCTGCCTCCCCCCTTGGCCGTGCTTTCCCAGGCCCCAGCTCCCATGGCCCTCCTCCATAAGCTCTTCTGTCCCCAGTTCCTTGAGGCTCTGGAGTTTCGTCTCCATCCCCATAACCCAGCACATTGCCAGAGCCCTCAGCCCCCTGGCTCTGGGAAGCAGCCCCAGCATGAGTAGCTCGCGCTTCCAGACCCTGGTTATTGCCCTGATGCCCAATTCTAGCTCCAGAGGCCCTGGCACCAAGGAACCTGGTCCTATCTCCATCACCATCTTTGTCTCCTGCCCTCAGAGACCCTGGCTCCATGGCTCTTGGCCCCCCTGTGGCATCTTCACAGCCACCTTCCCCAAACGTCCCCAGAGCACCCGAGGCTCTGAAGTCCCCAGAATCTCTACTCTGACCCCAAGGCCTCATTCTTGAAGAACCCCCTTGTTCTGCTTCCACACATCCCTCCCCAGTAGTCTCTGCTGTGCCAGGGACCTCGAGACTTCCTCCACCCACTGACCCCACTGTCCCAGAATGGTGCCCTCCTTCAGGGCCTGTTTGTTCCTGGGCTCTGGATGGATCCTGATTCCAGGCTTCACCTATGGGCATCTCAATGGGGGCCCCTGAGCCACTGCTGAGTCTGGCAGCTCTTCCAGACCCCCTTCCTGCAGGAGCACAGTGATCTTTGTTTCCAGACCACATTCCCCCGGGCACCTTTGATCCATCCCTGTAAGCATCCCCTTCCTCCGACTCTCTTCCAACATGTGCCCCAGAGGCAAATCTACGCCCAGCATCATGACCAGACCTCATTTCTCCTGGCAGCCCTGTGCCATCACTATAAGCAACTCCATTTCCAGAACCTGTTCCCCTAGAATACTCCGAGCCATCCCCATACCTAGAGTCCACTCGTCCCAGGCCTTCTAGGCCATCCTCGTAGTCCATCTGTCCTCTGGGTCCTTCTCTGACGCTTCCTGCCCCATTCCAGGAATCTGGTCTGGGCCCTACTGCCCCTGGCTCTCTTAATCCTTCTGGATCTCCTCGTGCCCTTGCAGGCCCCTGAGCACCCGTGCCTGGAGCCCCAACCAGCCTGGGACTTCTGACATCTCCCGCCTGACCGGGCTGCACTAACCCGGCTGCCTTTGCACTGCCCCCCTCCTCCCCGCTGGGCCCCAGAATTCCAGGCCCAAGGCAGGCCCCAGTCCTTCTGAGGTGGGACCCTGAGTCATCCTGAGAACCTGGGCTCTCCGGCTCTATGCTTCCTGGACCCCCTGCTCCCTTCTGCCCCGCTGTCCAGCCCTGGGGACACTGGGGACTTCTGGATACATCCTCTGTCTTACCCAAGGCCCCAGCTGTGAACGGGCCATCCCCTCCCTGGAGTTCTTGCAGGCCACCTGCCCAGTCCCTGGGACCTCCTGGCCCCCCAGGATCAGTGTTACAGCCCCTTCCCCTAACTGCTATCTTTCTGGGCCCTAGGTCATCGGCCTCCTGCAGTGAGTCCTCAGCTTTGGTCTCAAGACTCCTGTCCCCTGGGAGAAACTTCCCACCTCTGGATAGTGAGGGTTCCTGGAGGCGCCTGTCTCTAGGCGTCTCGCCTGAATACTCCCCTGGCCTCCCGTAGGCCCTAGCTTCCCCATGATCAGCATCTCCACCTCCCTGAGAGGCCCGGGACTCAGGGCCTGTGCCTGCCTTGGAACTGGAACCCCTTCCTCTGGGAAACTGCAGGATACCATGATCTTCTACCCCACTGCTGTCTCCAGCTTCCTCAAGGCTAGCCCCTCTAGCCCACACTGCCCCTGCTGCTCCCCTCCCCACTTCCCGGCTCAGGCCATCTCCTCCCTCCAGCTCATCTAGGCTATTGCCTTGTAGAATCCTTCTGGTTCCCTCTCCTTTTGGCCAAGATCTCTCAGGATCAGACTGGGATCCCCACGGGGCCCTGTTCCCTGTCCCAGGTCCCAGCTGAGCATCCCAGAGTTGTTCCTGGCTGTGTCTGTTCAGTTGGCTGCCATTGTCTTCTCTGGGACTCCTTCCTTCCCTGCTGCTCCCCAGTCCTCCAGCCTGAGGGTGACTGGACCCAGCCTCCCAGCTTCCTTCTGTCCCCCAGCTTCTGTCCCCATGGCCTTCTCTGCCTCTGCCTTGCTGTTGTCTTTCCATGAAGCCCAAGCCTGATTCTGGGCCTTGTCCCTGCAGATAAGACCTCCCTAGGAGGCTCCCATCCCAGTCTCCTGGGTGGGGCTGATTTTCCCCCAGAAGAATGGCTCTGTCCTCTTCTGCTTCTAGAAAGTCCTCTCTCTCCTGCCCAGGGCCCCAGGCTGAGTCAGCTGCCCACTTATCCCCCATCAAGGAATAACCATGCCTGCCAAGGCCACCACTATCTGGGCCCACAGTGAGCTGGAGACCAGAAGTCCTCTCAAGGGAGCCCTCTATGGGGCCCTCCTCTCTGGATTCCCCTCCCTTGCCACTGATGCCCTCGGAGTCTTCTGCATCTGAGGCCTGAGCTCCTTGTGTCTGCAGCTGGCAGTCAGCACTTGTGGTCTGAAGGCCTTTCTCCTTCCCAGCTTCGATGAGGTGTTATTTACGTGGAGGTCAATGCCCCCATAGACAGACAAGAAAAAAGACCAGAACCCTGTTAAATCAGGCCAAGGCAACTGCCTGACCGGACTGCTTTATCTGACCCACAGTTTCCCCAGTAGAGAAGCAAGCTGACCATCTAGGAAGGAAGCCAGGATGTTCCAGGGGACTGGTCGATACATCCCACCATTATTTCCCCCAATCCCACTCTACCTGCTACATGGTTCATGAGTTTTGGTGGGGTTTTTTGTTTGTTTGGGGATTTTGCAGTATAGGGATTGAACTCAGAGGATGTTTTCACTGAGCTCCATCCTCAGCCCTTATTTCAATTTTGAGACAAAGAGTCTCACTAAATTGTCCTGGTTGACCTCTAATTTAAGATCCTCTTATCTCTGCCTCCAGGGTATCTGGGGTTACAGGTGTGTGCCACAATACCTAGCTGATTCTTGAGTATCTTGACCCATAACTGCATAAGCCAAAAGTCATTTGCTTACCAAACTGCCATCGGCAGTTTCATGGTTTTTAAAAGGTCCACTTGCCCTACTGCCAGCCTTACATTTATAGTTTCCTGGGTTCATACTGAACCCAGATTCCAGTCCCCAGGGAGGTTCAAGGGTGCTCTCTGGTCCCAAGCCCTGTTCAGAACCCTTGGGCCATTTGGATCTATGACCCCAGAGTAGCTCCAGGAGGCCCAGTGGCCCAGATGTACCTGGGAAGGTCTGGTTGGCTACGCAGACTGCATTGAAGTGGATCAGGTCTGGAGCTAGGAGCCCTCCTGTTCTCTCTGAGTAAGGATTTATTTAAAAACAGATGACAGGGCCAGGGATTTAGCTCAGTGGTTTCGCCACCTGCTGCATAAGTGCAAGGACCCAAGTTCGATCCCCAGTACCAAAAAAAAAAAAAAAAAAGAGCAAATGACTGACCACAGGGAAACCCCACTGCCTCAGCCCTGAGGCCTTGCCTTGGGAAGCCAGTGGAAAGACAAGGGTGTGACACTTACCTTCAACCACCAGCCAGGCACTGGAGGCATGGAGCCCTGTGCCCAGCGAATAGAGGCCCCTGTCTGAGAGGTGGGCCCCCCTCACCAGCAGCCGATGGGTTAGCCCATCAGGTGACACAATTGCTTCATATTTGTCACTGAGCCTGAGTGGCCGGTGCTGGAAATACCAAGTAGCATTGGGGCAGGGTTTGGAAAGAGTACATTCAAATATTGCATCTCCCTGCTCCTCACAGTGGGCCTCGGCCAGCGGAACCACAACTCTGGGGGGGATGGCTGCAAGAAAGCAGAAGTGTGGTCATCAGTTGGGTGCCATGACAGTGGGAACTAATGCAGTGGGGCTGGGAGATCAGAAATCCCAGGTTCTGCTCCACTTGGCCACAGACTCCCTGTGTGCCCTTGGATGGGTCATTCCCTTACTCAGGCTATCAGCCAAAGAACGAGAGTTATAGTGAGATTGTGCTCACCAGGGCCATTTTCAGCCCTGGAATTCCATAACTCTAAACTCAAGAGTCCTATCTAGGGACAAGAGGGCTACATGAAGGAAACCAGTAAACCAAGGGCCAGTGCAGAACTCACACTTTGCCCACACTGATTTCAGGCTTTTCAGAGCCCACTCCCTTCTCTTTTGTCAACCTTGAGCCAGCCATGTTCTTTATGACTTATCTGCCTAAAACCTTCTCTCCCAAGGCATTTCTAGGAGCCCTTTCAAGCTGCTGTGGGTGATGTAGACACAAGTCCTTGTGGGTATGGGGCAGAGTCTAATGAGGGAGGCGGGGCAGCTCCTAGGTGGGGAAGACACAGGGGAAGCTGGGTAGGGTGAGGCTTGTGCAAGGTACAAGTGTGCCCAACCTACGTGGAGATTCTGGCTAGGGGGTGTGAGCCATGAGGCCATGCATCAGAAGGGAGCCAAGTTACAGCAAGAGGCTGTGACATTAGTTTGGATCTGATCTGAAAACAACCAGGTGTGGCAGCAGATCTATGGGCAGGAGCATGACAGTTATTATGTTCGCCATGACTGTGATCTAGTGCTGCCCAGCTTGGCCCCAGTAGAAGACAGAGCCTGGGTGTGTGTCCTTCTCCCCCATTATCTTTGCAATGGAGCCATGTCACACTTACCCTCCCAACATAGCAGCAGCAGGAACCCCACACTTAACAGATCTCCCCCTTCAAGCTTCAGCAGCGAGCACCACTCACCACCAGCCTCCAGTTCTGTGGAGAAGACCACAGTGTCCTCCACCTTGACCTGGTAAAGGCCAGCATCCTCTGGGCGTAGGTCCTGGACCTGGAAGTGGTACCGTTTCCCCAGCCGCCGAAGGCAGTGCTTGTTCTGGTTATTGAAGCCATAGGGGACCATCTCACCATCCTGAGGTCAGGAAAGGAAAAGGGTGCTTCAGGGCTTCCAGGATCCCCAGAGCCTCCTGCCTCAGCCCTACTCTGGCTTTAGCCAGCAGTTTTCTCCCTTTGGCCCAGGCCTCAGACAACAGTCCTGGTACATAGAGGGGCCGGGCAGAGAGCAGGGCCCGGTGGAGGTGGGTGGGAATGTGTTCTAAGTGTGTCCATGCCTCTCACCGTGGAATATCTGCAAGTGTTATGCCAAGAGGCACCTGGGTTGTTGATCCGGCTCAGGCTAGGAGGAGAGCTACTACCAGAACAGCCCTACCATGTTAGCAGGGGAGGCAAGAGGGACCCTGGTGTCCCTGGGGGCACCAGCTCCTTCATTAACCAAGGGGAACCTTCAGAGAATATATTTAAGGCTCTACAAAACCCAGTAATTTATACATATACCCACTTTTACTAAGCCCTACATAGATTCATTCTTTGCTGAATATTAACAATAGCTAATGCTTTACAGGTGCCCACTGTGTGTTGGGCATAGGTAAATAAAACGGACAACGATTCCTGTCCTCAGGGGCCTAAATCCTATGACAAATTATAAACATTATAAATAAGCAATAATTTATGTTTAAAAACAGAGTACTAAGAAAAACAAAGAGGAGCAAGAGGGTAAGGGTTCAGGGATGCCAGGGTGGAGCTAAGAGAACACAGCAGAATCGCATGGGGCCATCAAGGGAAGCATCACCGCAGGTGAGGGAGTTGCCTTGTGGATGTCGGGGAAGAGCAGGCCAGGCCCAGGGCGCACCTGGAGCAAAGGAACTGAGATGAGGCCTGAGTGGAAGGAATGGAGGAGCAAGGGGAAGAGGAGGAGGAGTAGTAAGGAGAGAGGGGAGGGGAGAAGCAACTCCTGCCTGATCCATTTGCATTTCCATATGTCAGGAGACAGCTCCTGTGTTACCTGCACTTCTCAAATGAGGCAACTGAGGCGCTGGGAAGATAAGCATCTTGTCTGCGTCACACAGCTTGGTAAATGATGGGGCCAGGATGAGTTTGTCTACAGAACTGTTACCCTTTTTTGCCCCACAGCCTCATACGCTTGTTGCCACATGGTTGCCAGGGAATGGTTCCTCAAGCCCAGGTAGGAATGTGTCAAGTCTGCAGCAGGAGCTCAGCAGGAAGGGAATGCACTTTCTCATAACTTGCCTTTTAGACCCCTGTAGGCACAGTTTATGGAGTGAACAGGCCCAGCTAGAAAGCCCGGTTATTCGGTGAGAGAGAAGTTCCTGTGGACAGTCCACACCAGAGTCTGACTTAATTCCAAGCAAGAGCTCCATGGGGTGCTCTGGTGTTCCATGGGGGACCCATGGGATCCACTGTTTTCCCTCCTAGGACTTGCAGTCTCCCTCTAGTGTCCCTGCCCCACGGCCGACCCAGCCTCACCTTATACAAGTGAATCTTGCTCTCAAGGTCCTTGAGATCGAGCTCCAGGTCAAACGTGGCGACTCCTTCCTTGGTGACCCTGATGTGTCTCAAGTTGGAGACAGCGTTGACATACTAAGGGGCAGACAAACCCATCAGGGCAGCTCTCAGAGCTCTCTCTTTGGGGCCCTCCAAACCCTTAGGGATCCTGGTCCTTTCTCTGGCCACAGTGTTCCAGCTGAGCAAGCCTTTGCCCGTCTCTCAAGCAGGGAGACTTTAGCCCCCAGTGAAGGAAGTTCTCTAAATGACAGATCAGGTCTAAAGGCAGACAGGAAAGGACCCCAGATGCCCAGGTGCTCTGAGAACATGCTAGGGGTTCCCATTCATCTGTCCTTCCAGCTAATGAACCTCAGTTGAACAGCTCGGGTACGAAGAGCTCTGTGCTGAGTCCTGTGTTAAAGCAGATGAGAAAGCTCAGAGGGTTGAGGCCCTACCTGGGAGCTTTGAGGAATCACCTTCAAAGGGATAAAATGCTGTTCTCAGGATAATGAAAACTACCTGTTTTCCATTTCCAGAAGAAAAATTAGACTTACAGTTATGTTAGATACAGGAAAGAATTTCCCTTCCTATGCAGTCTAGAGGACACTGGAATCGAAGTACTAACAGCAACTGTGAAATTCTCTTTCCTGGAAACCTTGAGAAATAAAGTATGTACACCCTGTCTGGCGATGAGGCTGATGCTGATGATAGCTGACATCTGGCCTCATGATGAGTTGGGCACTAGGCTAATTGCTTTAAGTACATTCTTGTATTTGTGCTCTCATTAACTGTACGAATTAGGTGTGACTATAATCCCCATTTTACAGGTGAAGGAAACAAGACACAGAGATACTAACTTTTCCAAAGCCTTAGACTTTTTATCAGAACCAGGTTTCAAAGCCAAGATGTCAATTTGGAAGCCTGGGCCCTTGGTGGGACACCTCACTAGGGGCCAGATGGAGGAAGACCCCAACCGTGTTAGTTTCCCCAAGGCCCAACTCCAGGTGCCCCTCCAGGTCCCCGAGTGCCAGGTGTATGGATGGGGCCGGGCGACGGTACCTTTGCCATCTCATCCTCCTGCTCCTTCTTCATCTCCTGCAGCTTGCGCAGCATTCCCCGGAAGTCCACAATACCGTACTTTAAGCAGATCTTCTCATAATCCTTCCGGTCTGCATTCATCAGCAGCTGCCACACCTGATCAGACTCCATCTTGTTTTCAGGAGCTGGAGGTGGGGACCTGGGGAGCAGGGCTGGCAGGTCAGAGCCAAGAGGAGCCCCAGGTGCTGGCCACCTGGCCCTGCCATTCCAAGTAGCCCAGGGAAGCTGCTCTATGTACTCTTGTGGAAGCAAACACAGGGACTGAAATCTCTGGGACTGACCACTGTCCAGACTGGAAGGACCTGGACATTGAAGGACCCAACCTCAGGCCATAGCTCCAGCTTCCAGGAGAAACTCGGCTCCTAATAACTTGAATTGTTGATTTCTGAGCAAGATGTTTTTGAGCAGGGACACGGGCGGGATTGAATTGTTCTGTTGCTTTAAATTTTTCTTTTTGGAAAACACTGTTTTAGTGGTCCACCCCCTTTTGCAAATGAGGTCAGGACCCAGAGAGATGAGATGACTAACTCAAGGAGCGTTTTAAAGTGACTAAGCTGGAGCCACAATCTCAGCTCAGCGCTCATCCCATCCTCCCATCTGCTAGTTGCAGCCTAGCTCCCTGCCTGTGCTGGAAGGGGAGACAGGGCCTGAGTGCAGTTTATTTATGGGAGGAGCAAAGGGTCCAAACTGCCCCTGGGACAGGCCCAGACTCACCTCTTTTTCAGCATCTTTCTGAAGTCCATGATTTCCTTCCTGAGGTCTAGAGAAGGAGAAGGAATGAGAGCCCTTTGCAGGTGGGATGGGTGATCAGGTGGGAATACCAGGCAAGGAGTGGCTTCTCCCCCCACAGGCTCCAAGGAGCTTTCGGATGAGTTCATTTACCCTCCTGGGGTTCCTTTTGCCTCTTCCGGTTCTTCCGAAAGCCAACTGGACCATCCGGGAGGCGAGGAGGGCATTGATGCAGACAGGCAGGGAGAGAGGCGAGACACGTCAGTGATCTGCCTGAGAAACAAAATGAGCCCCACAGCCCTGACCTGCCCGCTGCTCTAAAGCACAGCAGCCTCCCGGCAGGAGGGATAAAACAGGACAAAAGGATGCCCATCAGGGGCTGTGGTACTGCAGAGCCTCGCATGACCCAGGGAAACCAGCGGGTGTATGGCCTGGTGAAGCAGAGGTCCACTCACATGTTCACAGGGGCCAGGGAGGTGGTACAAGTGAGTGAAGTAGCACTGGCAACCACAGAGGACTGAAGGGCATCTAGAGGGACAGCTGCTCCTTCACTGTGCTGAGAGCTGTGCACCAGGGAAAGGGCCCACTGTTGCCAAATATGTTCGGCCCTGCTGTTTGGCTGTTCCCGCAGTCACTTGTAATCCTCTTCTCCATCACCTGCTTCCACTGGATAGGCTGGAAAAACTAAATGCTTGCCTTCCCAACTCCCCTTTCAACTGACTAGCCATAGCCCTGTGACACAGTTCTGGCCAATAAAGCCCAAGCGGAAGCCCCCAGGAATTCCTGAGAAAGCTGCTCCTTCCTTGATAAGAGGGGCAGATGTACCTGGAACCACCTCTTTCCCCCTGGTGCCAGCCCTGAGCTGCAGAATGAGCCCTGGACTCCCATCTCAGAACTTCTTACCATGTGAAGTAATTAATATCTTTATTCCTTGGGATTATCTTAGTAGGACTTTTTAGTACTTGTTGGCAAACCAATGGTAAGCATAACTAATTGAGAGACAGGATCTGCTTCCTCAGGAGGTATCTATCTACTTCCCAAATATTACGAGCTGACAATTAACTTTAAAAAGAGCAAACACCATGCAAACCAAACAAAATATGTCTGAGACGGGATTTTCGCTTTGTGTTGTCTGTTTTTACCTCTGATGTAGGCCTGTACATCTGGGAACCTGAGGCCCAGAGAAGACTAGAAACTAACTTCAGGTTCTGGTCTGGTCCTGTTAGGCCAATAGAGTGTCTTTCAGGACATCTGCAGCAGGGTGTCTGCAGAGGATTGTGCCTCTGCCTTACCAGCAGATTTCACGGACAGGGGAGGAAGCCCGGGACTCCGGCACCAGGTGAGGCAGCAGCAGCCTCCCCTCCCTCACCAGACACGTGGGCCCCGGCTCCTAGGAGGGGCCCATGCCCGACGAGACCCTCCGTGGAAAGCGCACCCTCAATGACAGTGAGCCTCGCTGAGCATGTGGCCTCTCCGTACTTGTTCACAGCTGTGCAGTGGTACAGATCGGTGTCCTCGCCCGTCAGCTTGTTAATCTGCAGGAGAGACCAAGGACAAGGGAGAAGGGGTAGCACTTCCCCTTCCCTCATTTCCAGACATGGTTGTGCATCGGTCACGTAAAGATGAATGAATGGCACACAGTCCTTGCCCACAGGAGCCCTCACTTTTCATTAAGAAATGCAGACAGCAGCCCCCACCCCAATAAACCAAAAACTGGGACAGAAGGTGGCTGTCTCTGCTACCAGAAGAAATGTGGAGTAGCAGAAAGAGCTGGCTCTGTGGGTCAGGTGGATATGGGACAGAAAACACCTCTGTCCTGTATTACTAGCTGTGGGACCTGGGGCAAGTTACCCAACCTCTCTGAACTTTAGTTTCTTCACTTGTAAGATGGGGACAATAGTGCTCAGAAAGTAATGACTGCTAAGGAGTAAATCATGTAATCTATGTCAAGTATTTAGCCCATGCCCCAGCACGTAGGTGTTGCATGGTTGGTATGTATACCACTACTAATATTAACCAACGTTGCTTGAGGACAGATGCTCCTTGACTTGCTAGTGATGTCCCAATAAACCTGCTATGAATTTAAAGTATCATAAAATAAAGTGCACTTAATATACCTAACCTAGGGCTGGCGATTTAGCTCAGTGGTTCCACCACATGCCTCACAAAAGGAAGGACCCAAGTTCGATCCCCAGTACC